GAGCTGATCTGAGTCCCAATCCTCCTTGTTGTTTTGGGGTGCACACCTTCTCCCAAGACACCAAGTGCACTTTCCTTTTTCCTTCTTGAGATCCCCAAACGAACCAACGAATTCTGCGATCAATGTCATCACAAAGTGAAACAGGCAACATTGATGTTTGCTTAGCATAAGTGGGAATAGCGTTAAGGACAGAAAGAGCAAGAGTAACTCGTCCAGCAAAGGAGAGTGTTTTGGCCTTCCAGGCTATGAGTTTTCGATCAATCTTCTCCAAGATGTACTTGAAGGTGGATTTAGAGACTCTTCCATGAAGCACAGGTACTCCCAGGTATCTCCCCAGGACCTCAGTCTCCTGAATTCCCAGCCTTCTGCAAACATCCCTTCGGTTGGAGCTTTTGGTGTTTTTGGAGAACAACACTTTGGACTTCTCCTTGCTGATTTGCTCTCCTGAGGCAGAACAGAAGTCCTCAATGCAATCCATAAGCACCTCTGCCTGTCTCGGATTTGCTTCAGCAAACAGCACCAAGTCATCTGCAAAAAAAAGGTGGGATAGAGGGGGTCCTTGTGGAGAAAGCCTCACTGGCTTCCATCTCTTTTCCTTTACAGCATTCTCAATACAGTGGCTCAGTCTCTCCACACACAAAGTGAACAAGTAAGGGGAAAGAGGGCACCCTTGACGAAGCCCCCTGCTTGGGGAGAAGCTTTCAGATTCTCCTCCATTCCAGAGTACCTGCATTTGGGTGGAAGAAACACACTGCATCACAATTGACACAAAACTAGGGGGAAAACCAGCAAGTAAAAGGGTCTGCTCCAGAAATTTCCATTCAATTCGATCATAGGCTTTAGCCAGATCGATTTTCATGAGCATCATTCCTTTCTTCCCTGATTTTCTGGCCATCGAATGAACCGTTTCCTGCAAAATCAGAATATTGTCAGTAATATGGCGTTTAGGTACAAAGCTAGTCTGGTTTTGCTTCACAAGGATTGGCATCAGCCCTTTGATCCTGTTTGCCAAGCATTTTGCAATCGTTTTATATCCAACATTGTATAGGCTAATTGGCCTAAACTCCTTAATGGACACAGGGGCTTCATTCTTGGGGATCAAGACAAGCAATGTCTCATTAACCCTGCTTATCAGGTTGTGGCAAGTGAAGCATTTCTTAATGAATCTGCAGAAGTCCTCCCCCACACTATCCCAACATTTTTGGAAGAACAGGGCATGGAATCCATCCTTTCCAGGTGCCTTAAGCCCATTCATCTCATTGATGATGGCTTTGATTTCCTCATTGGAAGGAGGAGCACTGATTCTGGCCATTCTGGTTTGACATATCTCAGGGAATAAACACGGGATAGTATTCTGGAGCTGTTGATCCTCACTTTTGAACAGATCACAAAAAAATTGTCTGGCCATTTCCAAGAGGGCATCAGGATCAGAAATCCAGTTTCCATCATCCGCTTTGAGGCAGGTAATCCTGTTTCTTCTCCTTCTGGTCAGAGTGCTAGTGTGAAAGAAACGAGTGTTCATGTCTCCAAACAGCATCCAGTTGGCACGGGATTTTTGCATCCAAAGGACCTGCTCCTGCCAAATTGTTTCTTCCAACTCAACTCGAATTCTTTGCTCCATCTCCAAGGAACTTCTGCTTTGGGAGGTTTCATTAAACTTCTCAATTTTTTGGAGCCGATTGGAGAGCTTCCTCTTTCTTTTGAAGATATTACCAAATATCTCCTTGTTCCAGGCCTGCAGTCTGTCGGAAAGAGTCTTCAAAGAGACAGGGAAATCAACACCCCCATTCCAGGAACTTGAGATGAATGGGAAGAAATCAGGGTGAGTCAGCCAGGGTGCCAGGAACTGAAACCGTCTCACCCTCTTGGTCTTGCTCTAATTCTCCTCATTGCAGGTGAGGATTGGTCTATGATCAGACTTGAGCTTGATCAAATGCAAGGTCGAGGTCGCAGGGAATTGCTGGATCCATTCCAGGTTGCACAGGTTTCGATCCACTCTTTCTCTGAGTCTGGACTCCTTGGTGAACCATGTGAACTTCGGCCCTGAAAATCCAACATCCACCAAGCCACAATCAAAAATGCATTCATTAAAATCCCTGACTTTGCCTTGATTGAAGGGCGCTCCTCCCATCTTTTCAGATGGTACTGTGATGGAATTGAAGTCACCCGTCAGCATCCATGGAGTTATAGTTCTTCTCCCAATGTTTCTGAGTTCCTGCCAGAGCTCCTTCCGATCATGCTCATTCGGGCTGGCATAGACAGCTGTGATCGCTCCCACTTCCTGGTTCCCACTCCAGTACTTGAGATGAATGAATTTCTTGTGGCAGTCAATGAGCTCTAAGGTAAGCTGATTGCTATCCCAGAGAACCCATATGCCTCCACTGAAGCCGGAAGCTTCTGAAATTTCCCATGAATCAAAACCTAGGGTTTTGATAACATCAAGAGCGTCCTTGCCACTAATTCTCGGTTCAAGGATACAAACCACATTTGGCGAATTAGCAGCCTTATACAGATCAAAGGTTGGTTTAAACTTTCGGTGCTTTGCACCCCTACAATTCCAGGAGAAGATCTTTATCATTAAACTGACAAAGAGGGGCTCCTGAATCTCCCAGGAGAAGGGAATCATTTGGAGTCAACGGCCATTGCCGTTGCACCAGTTTCTTTCTTACTCTCCACCTTTTCAGAGGGTTTCGAGTTGAGGTTTTTTTCCTTCTCTGCCCCCTCTTTCACCGGGCTGAAGACAATATTTCTGGAGAGGGTGTTATCCTCCTTCTGGCATTCCTGAACAGTCCCGCCATTCTTCCGTTCTTGGTGCATGATTGGTGAGCTCTGCTTGACTTTGCCGCCTTTGCTTACCCCGTCAGGTGGCTTCTTCTCTTTCGGCTCACTCTTGTGCTTCTGTTGGGTTCCCTGCACTTTCCCCTGAGCCGATTCATTGCCTGTTTCCCCTTTTTTCATTTTTCCAACTCCCCCCTGGACAGCATTCACAACTGAAGAGGAAGCCTGTTGAGATGATGTCATTGCATCCGTGTTCTTGGACGCAGGCGGGGGAGCTTCTGGTTCTCCTTCCTTGACTTACTGCTCTGCTTTTGTTTGTTTTTCAGTGGTGTCCTGTCCTGCTTCTTTTGCTCTTTTCCTCTGCCTTTCTTTGAGCTCTCCTCATCTTGTTTTTTCGAATGTTGTGTCTTGTTATCCCCTTTGATGATAGGCTCCGGGATTTTTTCCTGTGGATTACTTCCTGGGCTTGTTTCCTCTGTTTCCGGTTCTTCCCCTTCAGCATCAGCCTCTGTTTCTTCTTCCTGCAAGGAATTAAACCGAGATCCGCTCGCAGTGTTCTTGCTTTTGTTTTCCCCTTTTCCATTCTCCTCCTTGGTCTGTTGGTTCTTCTAGGGAGGTTTACGCCTTCTTGTTCTGGTTGCAAGCATCCAAGGGCCAAATTCATTGAGAATTTCCGGCATGATATCTGGGTCTTTGGACTCCTCCACAGTTTTTTCTTTCTGCCGTTCTTCCTCTGTTTTGTTCTCCGAGCAAGTTTCTTCGAGATGCCCAAATTTCCCACACAAAAAAAAACACACTGTGTGCAGGCCTTCGTATTCAATTCTCCTCACTCTCCTCTTGATTCTATACTTTGAAACGAGTTTTTTCCGGAGATCGATTTCAACACAAGATCGTGCGTAGTTTCCTCTCCCACCGTTGGCTGTGTTGAAATCGATCTTCTCCATTCTTCCGATCTTGTTTCCAATATCAGTGAGAATCTCATGATCAAAGTACGCAAGTGGGAGTCTCGGAAGTCTTACCCACACCGCAGTCCTGCTAATTGTGTCGAAGTCTGGGTCAAAATCAATTCTCCATGGCTCCGAGACAATATAGTAGTCTTCCACCGTCCATGGCCCTCCATAGAGAGCTCTATCTCTGTCGAGCTGGGAATCGAAGGCCGCCTGAAAATATCCGTTGCCAACATCACTAACACGGATACCCCCTGTTCTTGCCCAGAGCTTTTGAATTCTTCTTTGAATAAACATGAAGGGGAAGTTCTTTCCGAGGATTCTGAAAGTGATCGCCCTTTGGACTATAGAGAAATCAAGATCATCCCCACTAAAGATGGTAGTCTCTAACTATATCTTAGCCTAACTATAGAGAAATCAAGATCATCCCCACTAGTAGCGTATCAAAAGGTAGAAAAAAGACACCGTGACATAATTTTGAGGCACAACTCAATGTTGACTAGGCGCCACTAAGCTCGCAACGTGATCTTGACGCCTTCTCCACTACTTTTTGCCAAGGCAAGGTGTTTTCCTTCTCACTTGCGCCTAGGCGAGGTTAGGCAAGTGGCTAGGCCCGCATTTTTTAACCATGGTTAAAATACTTGTAATATTTTGGAATGTCGTCATTCATGTGTCTTTCCAAGTCAATATTGCCAAGTCAATATTACTAACAAAGTTGGTAACTAAAAGTTAAGGGTTAATTGCATGGTTGGTCACTGAGATTATAAAAAACGTTCAAGTTTGGTCACTCGAAATATTTAAATCCATTGGTGGTACTTCAGTTTACTGAAACCGTTCACGTTTGGTCACTCTCCGTCCATCTCCGTTAACTTTGGCTGATGTGGCAGTCAACACTCAAAGTTGACTGTTAACTTAGTGACGTGGCAATTAAAAAATAATAAATAAAATAAATTTAATCTATTTTATTCTCCAACTCATTTTTACCATAAAATAAAAAAGTAAAAAAATAATTTTTTGGGCGAAACCTGCTTTCATCCCACATCTAGTCGGAATGGGACTCTACCACCATTTCCATCCCGAGCTCTACAAGATGAAGAGCATCAAGCTGGCGGCCGCGAAATCTTGATCTCCATGCCGAAATCCCTTAATTCCAACCATGGCCTATTTCGAGTTCCTCCCTGTGAACCGTAACAACAGCAATGGGGTTTCCAATTCCATCTCCATGGTGAAATCCCATCAACGAGAAGGAGCTCGTCGTCACCACTTACACTGGTACTAAAAAATTCCCAATTTGAGGAAATCAGAATTCTTGGAATTGAGTATTTCTTGCTCTGTTCTCGATCTTAATTTTTTTTGTTCGCGATCGTGGATGCAGAGTTGTACAGGTACAAAGTGGGGGACGTTCTGCGAGTTGCAGGGTTCGAGAACAAGGCGTCGCAGTTCAACTTCATCTGCAGGAAGAACGTGGTGTTGAGCATCGACGCGGACAAGACCGACGAGGTGGAGCTGCAGAGCGCGGTGGACGCCCATCTGGCGGCGTTCGACGCGTGCGTGGCGGAGTACACAAGCTATGCGGACACGACGATGGCGGTGTCGGGGCAATATCTGTTGTACTGGGAGCTGTGCTTGAAGGGGACGACGACAGTGTCTTTCTCCTGTTGAGTGCACTCTTTGCAGTAGTACGCATAAGATATGCCCACTCGCCCCGCAGATCACACATTTGCCATCGCATTTCTCGCAGAGTCGCCCGATGGCGATGCCCGGCTGCTTCCTGCACATGATCAAATCAGGATGATGCTTGTCCATGGCTGCTGCCGCTGCTTTTGCTCTACTACAGGTTTCGTTCTGCTGCAACCATCCATAAACCTATTTTGTAAGCGAACATTACTTTCACCAACATAGATGAAAGCGGCGCATCCTTAATAAATAAATTTTATTTATTTATTTTATGGTAAAAATGAGTTGGACATTAAAATAGATTAAATTTATTTTATTTATTATTTCTTAATTGCCACGTCACTAAGTTAACGGTCAACTTTGAGAGTTGACTGCCACATCAGCCAAAGTTAACGGAGTTGGACGGAGAGTGACCAAACGTGAACGGTTTCAGTAAACTGAAGTACCATCAATGGATTTAAATATTTCGAGTGACCAAACTTGAACGTTTTTAGTAATCTCAGTGACCAACCATGCAATTAACCCTAAAAGTTAACATTTGACTGATTTTTAGTATTTTGATAGGTTTGACTAATAAAAAAGAATCAGAAAAAAGTTTGACTAGTAAATTAATAATTATCCAAGTTTATTTGAAATGGTATAGGTAAACCCAAGGCCGATAGCATTATACGAATTACATATGAACAAAACTCACAATAGCTATTCAAGGAATGCTAACAATTATTTTCGTAAATTTTAATAGATATTATGAATACAAATCTTCATATCATAAGAAGCATTGATCATACAACTTTTCAACGGATCTCTTTGAAAGCTCAGCAAAGTCAGAACCCTCATTATTTAAAATACAAAGGGTCGATGATGATCATAACACTTAACAACCCAAATATTACAAACCCATTTCATCGAATATGACTTTAAACACACTCTTCGTTTATTTGGATTACATATAAACTATATATATAGCAAATGAGATGTATTATGGGATCTCATTTGTATGTATTGGTGGTGATGATCGATGATTAGGCGAGAGCTTCACCGAGATCCTGGACAACGCTTTCCAGGAAATCCAGGTATTTGTAGGCAGGCGGGGAGGCAGGGTCGCGTTTCTCATACTCCACCGTGATGGTCACAAAGCAGCCAGCGCCGTCATCTTTTGGCTTCATCTCAAACTTGCCTATGTACACTTTGTATAGCTTCAACGGGTCTCCGTCCACCCCGATAACGGTCACCAACTTCTTCTCGTCATCGAACAACATCCTCTCCTTCAAAACTTCCGGCTTCCCATCTGATCATAGTGGGTCATTCATTCTCGAGTTATTGAGACAAAGTACCGAATTTCTTTTATATGTGGCTCGTTAACGATTATTCAAATTTATACAGATTCATAAAATATATTGCTTACTGAGATATAGAATTGGGTTTGACTTCAATAAACAACGACTCAATTTAACAAGCTAGTTATTGATCAAATGGATCGATTTTAACCTCGATAGACTCGATCGATGGGGTTAGTAAAGAAAAACGGTAAGTAGTAAGACATCATTAGAGTTGAATGAAAGAGCAACTAGCTAGATACGTATTGGAAAATTGATTCAGTACCAAGAGTATAATTCCAGTACTTGATCGACCCATGAGTCTCCCAATCTCCTTCATGGACTTCAACTTTATGGATGTTCTTTGCTGTGTGGTTGGGGATGTGGTGTGATGTTTTCCTGAACACCCCGTAAACTTTGTCAGCTGATGCTTTCACTTCCATCACACTCTCCAGCTTTCCCTTCATCGCCATGGCTACCTCTCTCTCTCTCTCTCTCTCTCTCTCTCTCTCTCTCTCTCTCTCTCTCTCTCTCTCTCTCTCTCTCTCTCTCTCTCTCTCTCTCTCTCTCTCTCTCTCTCTCTCTCTCTCTCTCTCTCTCTCTCTCTCTCTCTCTCTCTCTCAACTTATTATTAAACAAAGCCAAAGATCATTTGGTTATGATTGACCTTGTATTCAGATATACATATAGGCGTTTTGGTTTAGCTTACTAGGTCATTTCACTATTGCCACGTTTTGCTTGGCTGGGTGTGAACATGTATATGTCGGTTATAAGAACAGAACCGGATCAATGATTGGGCAAGTAGAACCGTAAAATTACACGGTCCAGTTCATTGTTTGGATGGTTATTAATGGACCAAACGATTTTTCGCGTTTCAACAAATACCAGATGAATCACCATGGTTTAACTGGTCCATTTGTTCACCACTTTAACCACAAAAGTTTTTTTAAAAAAAATACTTTTATTGTAAACTACGGCCTTCAAAACACAATTATTAATTTTATTTATGCTTACTCTTCTCATTTTCCAACTTCGTTGTCAACTTTACGTGGTCCACTAATGACTGACATCGTAATTTTTAACTTGAATTAAACAAATTATGATTTCTTTTGTGAGGCAGTTTGATGGATTTGTAAAATATTTTGCAGGTGATATGAATTTAACTTTTTGTAATGATAACTTCATTATTAAATTAGTGTATTATACGAATCTTTTATGTTATGTATCATAAACGATTTTATCAACGGTCAACCAACAGTATTATAAAGCTTAACTACTGAACCCTAAATCACTAACTTTTTCGGTTCAACATCCTTTCCGGTTATGAAAACATAGATGTATTGTAAATCAGTTTTTCAAAAGAAAAAATGGTAAATGATGCATCTAGCTCTATATATCTAAGAAATTTTATAATGCTATATAGTATTGGTGCTATAGGTTTTTGCCTTTATGGTACAACTTAAAATTGTATATTTACGTTATGGTACAACTTCAGATTGTACCTATATTTTTGTACAAATTCTTTTATGGTACAACTTGAATTTGTACCTTTATGTGATGGTACAACATCAAGTTGTAAAGTTGTACCATAACATAATGGTACAAATTGCGTTATAGTACAACCTAAACTTATACATTTAATGTTATGGTACAATTTTAAATTGTACATTAAAGCACCAGTACTATATAGCATAGTAGAAGTGCTCCTATATATCTATGACGTTTTTACAAACACACCTTTCAATAAACTATGTGCTTCTAATAAATGTGTCAATACTTAGGTAAATAGCTTGTAGAGAGGGAGCGCAAGTGACAACAAGAGCGAGAGTTCGAGAGCACCTACTCTTTAAAAATTGAAATAGTGATTGTTGTTACAGCTAGCATTAGAGTCAGAAATATGAATAAGGAGGTCTCATTTGAACTATGTTAATTGGTGATGGGGCTTAAATCTTACCTATTACCCTATTTTCTTAATTTGTTACAAAATTTATATATAGTTTTACTTATATTTTAAATTTGAGCGAACTACAGAGCCCATACCTTCCGCCTAAATTTGACATTGACAAGAGCACTGTTATTTAATATTATAGTAGAAAGTGTATCATATTAACACCGTGTAATAAAATATCATCATTGTTATCATAAGTCATAACTAATCATAGCATCAAAATCATATAAATTGTATCACTAAAATTATGTACGTATTTGTTAAAAGTTATGAAATTTTTAGACCACATAACATATGTTTTTATATAAAAATTATCATTAATTATTTAATATCTAATTAGAAAATAATTATTGTAATTGTATTCCAATTTCCAATACTTATTAGCTATTATGATGACTTTGGACATGAGACTGACAGCACACCCACTAAGCATCAACTAACCTCTTCTTTTTTTTTTTTTTTTTTTTTTTTTACAACTTTCTCTCTTCTCTCTTCAACTAACCTTTCCCACTAAGCATCAACTGACCACATAACATATGTTTTTATATAAAAATTATCATTAGTTATTTAATATCTAATTAGAAAATAATTATTGTAGTTGTATTCCAATTTCAAAACTTATTAGCTATTATGGTGACTTTGGACATGAGACTGACAGCACACCCACTAAGCATCATCAACTAACCTTTCCCATTCTAGTTCTCACTTCTTTCTTCACTTTCATTGCCGCCTGCTACTCCCCAACACAATTTTCATCTGCTTCAAAAGTTTTATTTATTTTTTTTTTTTGGTAATGTCTATCCCAAATCTTTTACAGATTTTTTTATTTTATTCACATTTATTGGAGTACTATTTATTAACCAAACGTATTATAACTGATGAAAGTTTGAACTTTCATTATGTTACCTAGGGGTGGGCATTGGGTGGGTCGGGTGGATTTTGACCATAAAATGCACCCACCCGCGCTTAAACGGATTGATAATTTTTAACCCACCACCCACCCACATTTAGTTTCGGGTTGGGTTGGGCGGATGGTGGATGATGCGGGTGGGTTTGTGGGTTCACCCACATCACAATGTATATAATATATAAAGGAGTCAACTTGACATGATAATAGGTGAAGAGAATCATCGAGGGGAACAAAAAGTTGAAATAGGGCGAAAAATGTCGAATTAGTTCTTAAATTAGATAGAAATTCTATTATGAAAGAGTTTTCTACAGATTGAGACGATTATTAGGTGCAAGGAACTAAAGAAAATAATTCCACAAAGGAAAGAGCGGTGATCTAGGCACAAGAATTAGAGGAAAAAGTAAATGGAAGAAGAGGGGATCTCTATTTGGAAGGTTGGCTTTGAGGTTCAAACTCCAGGAGCAGTCCGAGTTTATATCTAACGTCTCCACTCTCCTCTCTCTAGCGCCAACGACTTTGATCTTTTTGTTGTTGGGTTGAGCGGGTCACCCGCACACTCACCCACAACCCACCCACCACACGGCAGATGGCTCCCAGCGCAACCCGTCACCCACCCACAGACCCACCCACTTAACGAAATTCGGGTCAAATGCGGGTGGGTCGGCCCAAACCCGCGGATGATCCGCCCGCATGCCCAGCCCTAATGTTACCGTTAATTATTTACTAGCAGAGCTCCAACTTATCATCCAGCTCAGAAATTCATCAATTTTTAATTTCATTTTTTTAATTTCATTTTTGGCTATCTGTCTTTTCACCTTCCTCCATTGCCTCCTCTGTCAAAGGGAAAATAGTGTTTTGAACCCAAATTTTTGTTCTTCCCTCTACTGCTGCTTCTTTGTCCTTCTCCCCTTGCCCAATGGTGCGTTTGATTTTTCATAAGCTTCAGATGAACGTCGTCGTAGGGATTTCCTCTTCCCATCTCCAGACTCAACAACTTCTGCCTCTGCTCCGACCACTGCCGCCGAGCCCAAACGTGAAGGAGAACACAAAGGGGCATTCCAGCCTTGCAGCTGAGCCAAGGAGGAAGAAGAACGGCGGGGAGCTTCCCAGATCTTTCATCGATTCGCTCGTTAGTCATCATATCACCCCGCCGTCGAACACAAAGGAAACCAGATCTGCCGCCTTCAGCGTCCGCCTCCGTATGCGGAATTGAACTCTTTGTTTAATGGGTGTCGAGGATGGAAACAAATTGGAGAGAGGCAGATTGGTACCTCGTCAGTCAGCCTTCACCGGAATGCATTTGCTTCTGGTTCGATTGTTGCAGGTGGTGAAGATTGGGGCGCATAGCGAGAGTGGGGCGACGGTGGAGGAAGGGGGAAGAAGAGGGAAGAGACACCAAAGGAGGGAGAAGTCTAAACCTATTAAAATTTTATTAATTAGTCAAAATTTTCATAAGATATCAAAATATTAATCATTTTTACGTAATTGTTAATAATTTTGTAACTTTTTTCTTAGTTAAAATACTAAAATTTCGAAATGTTGACCTTCATGTATCTCTACCAAGTTATTATTATGTTGTCAAGTCAATATTACTAACAAAATTGCTAACTGGAAGTTAACATTCGACTAATTCTTAGTATTTTAATAGGTTTGGATAATAGAAAAGAATCTGAAAAATGTTTGAATAAACAATAGAAATTACCCTAGTTTTTAAATTAAAATTAAATATGATGGGATGGTGACGACCCTGTTGGCATCCAACTCAGATCCGTGATGTTGACTCAGCAATATTAACAAAAGTATTAACGGTGAGTTAATGTTTGGTTAATAAATAGTATTCCAATAGGTTTGGATATAATAAAAGAATATGAAAAATGTTTGGATAATAAATAGATATTGCCCATCTTTTTATCCAGCCAAATAACTTTGTCAGCAATGGTGATTTGGAATGGTGAAAATATGATATTTTCAAATGTTATTTAGATTTTCAGAAGCAATTTGAAAGTGTGAAAATATGATGTTTTATTAATGGGTTTTAGGTATAATATGCCCATTTATCAAACATGTCCCTATACTATTCTTTATATCAAACATGCCCTTTTATTTTGGAAAAATGATCAAACATGCCTTTATGTTAAAATTCTCATTGAAAAAATGTCAACCATGGTTGAACCAATATTTAGACGACCCGACATCAACAAATGGAGAAAAATATATTTTTTGTCCCCTTTATTTCTCTAGTTCTCGTTAAAGTGAAATTATTATAGTTATTTGGTTATACAAAAGAACCAAAAAAATTCTAAAATAAAATTATTAGAGATAATTTAGACATTTGTGTCGCCCAAACCAAGGTTAAACCGTGGTTGATGTTTTTTGGATGAAAATTTCAACAGAGCGCATATTTGATCATTTTTCCAAAGTAAAAGGCATATTTGATGTAAAAAATAGTAAATTAATATGTTTGATTAAAACGACATAATAGAGATCGTATTATACATATAACCCTTTATTAATTCAGCATCTTCAGTTCTTATCAATTTGGTGGCTTAGAGATCGTGAAAATATGGTGTTTGAGTATTAGCATGATCTTTTTTGTATGAATGTGGTAAAAATATTAATTGAAATATTGGAGGGCCATAAATATTGGACTAATTCCCATCCCACATCGGGAAAAGAAAGTTAGCGGGAGACAAGGCAGCCATAAAGATCACAACTATAATTGAGCCCGCCAGTTACGGATGAATTATGTAACTGATATAAATAGTAATAATAATTTCCAATGACGTTAC